GTAGATGCCACACGTGCCCAGCAGTACGTAGCTGCAATGTGAGCTCCTGTGATCCTCTAGGATTTCTATTGAATCACCAGACTAGGTACTTCATGACCACTACTTTGACTACTGTAGGGTATGGTGATGTGACACGGAGACGCACGTCGAACGGCTCTTTTGTATCTTCGCTGAAATCGTCGCTGGAAATGTGAGTTGTATTGCAATTTCCCAGTACAAAATCCTTAGTAATATCTGCATAGCCTTTTCTCATAGCTACCGATTCATTTGTATATACCTACTTTTTCCTATCTATCACATTCTCCTCTAGTCCTCGAGTAGAAGACTGCGGTTGTATTGCAATTTCCCAATACACAGTCCTTAGTAGTATATACATAGCCTTTTCTCATAGCTAATGTAGTGCTATCAATTTATGTGTATATACCTCCCTTTTCCTATCTATCACATTCTCCTCTAGTCCTTGAGTAGGATACTGCGGTTGTATTGGAAATCCTGAATTGTACTGAAATATCCCCTTATCGAAATCACAGCGCTCAGTCATCAGCAACTTCAAATTCGGTATTTTTTCCGCTGCTCTAGTGCTGGTAATCTCGAGTAAAGCTTTGAGTATGATGGCGTGACAGCTTTCCCACGGCCCGAGCCTCTGAGTTGACATTAACATCACATCTCTTCAACTATACCTCAGCAAATCGTGTTCTCTTGGTATCATACGGTTTGCAGCAAGAGGAAAAAAGCCGTGCTGTACCGCTGCCCCTCTATAGTTTCAACTATCTACTACTGCGTAGTTCATAGACCTTAGGTGGTCGAGAGTAGCGTTGAGGAAATGCAAGTGTGTGTAAGAGAGCAAGTGGTATATATTACTGTTGTAGGTATTCGCGTTGTTTTCCGGTCTACTATGTGCGCTTATGTTGACTTATGATGAGAGCAGATCTCAATATAGGGCTAAACTGAAGGACGCAATGAGGTGAGTCGTACGGCCCCTCTTGATGCATTGTTATGCGAGTTGGCCGAGGAGTGGTATGGCGATTAATTATCCACTGTGTTCAGGTATATGAATAAACACAAGTTAGAATCGAGTCTGCGCATACGAGTTCGGAACTTTCTGCATCAGCTGTTCGAAAATCAAACTAATCTGGAAGTAGGCGAAGAATTTTGTGGCGCGGTGAAGTAGCAATTTTCAGTCCCGTCGGGCATTGGTGGAGTTCTTGCGGACTAGTGAAAGTCTACAACGGGACGTTTATGTTGGCCTGATGGGAAAGATGCTCAAACGTTACTCGTGGTTCAAGGACTTGTCGCATGAGATACTCGGAAAGGTATCTTAGGTTCAAGCGAGGTGGATACGAAATATGTCCGATTACTCTCAGGTATGCTCAGTATGTGAAGACCTCTACTATGCTCCAACTGATGTGATGATATATGCTAATGAGGAGGCCGACGGCATGTACTTTGTCGTACGAGGATCGATGGACCTAGGGTAGGGATCTCGACCACTGTTACCACTAACAGTAGACTAATAGAAAAATGTGAAACCGAAGCGGAGAAATATTGATGAGCAGAAATTGAAATGGCAATATATGAACTTGAAGCAGTGCTGCAAAAAATGTTCGCTTGCCTCAGCCGAGCTCCAAATTTTTCTCACTAATCATATGATTTT